GGTCGAGAAAGACTGCTACAGATTACTCGCCGGTGCGTAGGTTCAGATAAAGTTCACAAACCTCAACGAGGGCAACTCGGTTACTTATACTTCAGGATCAGTAGCAACTGCAAGCTTCTTGATGCTGCAGGAACAAGTTGGACCTACGGTGGGTAGCCTAAAAGTCCGGTAAAGCTCGGGGCCCGTTGTAATTATCACTGGTGACTTGGAATCACCGGCATCACGCCGGCACTAGCCAGCAGCAAGCAACAAATCATTGGGATCATGACATAGTCGCATCTTTGCGGCTTTGCGAGAAGGGAGTTACTATGGGGGATTTTCGCGAGAATCCTGGGTATGGACAGGATTCTGACGAGCTGACTGGACAGCCACGAAGAAGGAGGTCCTAGAATCGACGTCGATTTACCAAGGACTTCCTGGCACAGGGTTAGGTGATGGAGACTTTCGGTCCGATAGTCAACCCCAATCTTCAGGCAAAGAGAGTAGTAATGCTTAAGCTGTCCGATTTTAGGGTTAGATCCTACTATGACCGTTGCATTTCTCTCCCATTGCCCCACAAGTCCACGACCGCCTGGGGATCTTTGTGGATCGGGCAACGTCCCGAAACTCGTCAGATAATGTTCAGAGGCAGTCAGACCACCGCCATGGGCCGGCCGGGACGGACCTCCCCCTGGTCTCGTATCCGGTCCGAGGTTTAGTGCACACAGTTTGTCCCCCCCATTGGAGAACCAGAACTCAATTGCTCCATCTTCCCCAGCCCACGTGGAGCCCTTTCCCCAGCTTGCTGCCCCAGATACCCCGAAGCTAGCGTCACCAGTGACTTTTGTGGTCAAGGCTGATCCTCCCAACTCGGGTTTGGGGACTGCTCGTTGGTTCAAGTTTACCTCTCTCGGGTTCAGGTCCTCAGGTGGAATCCGTCCTCACCATCGTCAGTCGAACTGGCCCAATTCTAACCGGGTCGAGGTTTGAGGCAATTCTTTACGTCCATTTCTCCCCTTTGCTCTTTATACGGCATCTCTGCTTCGCATTGCCGCGAAATCCGACAACTTTGAATGGAGCCTCAATAGAGCTATGCTCGTTGGCGCGGCCCAGATTCGAACACAAGTATGATTCGTCAATCGCACAAGAAAAGCAGAACGGGATGCGTCAGCTGTAAACGAAGGAAGATCAAGGTCAGCAAGGACTTTCGTCATGAAATTGTCGCTGGATGAGAGACTAAGCCTCATAAACATAGTGCGACGAGGGGAAGCCGCACTGCCGAAACTGTAGAATTCACAGCACGTCGTGTGAGTACCAGGCAACGGCAGACACACGCGATTCTGTCAGTCCTCGGCTTACAGCACAATTTCCCCCCCAGAACGGGAAAGGTGGCGACGAGATTATTTTCAGCACGAACCACATGATGCTGCTGCATCATTTCACGGTGTCAACAGCCCCAACCCTACATTCCGACGCACGATTGAACCCCCTCTGGCAGGTCGCAATACCCAAAGAAGCCATGTCATTTCGTTTCTTGTTGCATGCCATTCTCGCTGTCTCATCATCCCACCTCGCGTATCTTTCGTCTGGGAATGAGTGCCAGTCTCACCAGTCACGGAGCTTTCAGCTATATCAACAAGCGCTTCTCGGTGCCAAGCGAGAGATGCAAGCCGTCTCGGACCGCAACAGAACTGCACTTTTCTACTTTTCGAGCATGATCATAATCTTTCAGCTCGCGAAAACTCGGTATGAGGACGCGGCGAAGGTCGCTGCTTCAGGGGAATCCAGCGATCCTTTGGCTTGGGTCGTACTCTACCGGGGCACGAAAGCCATCTTCGAATTGCATGACGAGACGTCTATCTGGTCAGGGCCCCTGGCCATCTTGGCCCGGATCGGAGGCGAGCGAGCGGCATTGCTGAGCAAGCCAGCGACACCTGACACCTACGGTCCCCAGCAGAGGGCTTTGTCGTCTTTTCTAGCCGAGATTAGAATTCGCACTACCGAAACAACAGAGCTGGAAGCACTCGAAGGCGCTTCGCTCTTACTTATACGATGCTACGGTCTGACTTACGGACAACAGCCACTTATCAGCGACTATTTTTCTTGGCTGTACAAGGTTTCAAAAGAGTATATCAGACTCTTTCAGGCACAGCATCCAGTTGCGTTGACGTTGTTTGCGTGCTTCGGAATACCAATCGGCCAGCTTGAGGGGGTCTGGTGGGTAGGCGACTGGAGCAGGTTGGGGGTACGCCATGTGCGTCACGCAATCGGGACAAGCCATGATTGGCTTCTTCAGGTCATCAGAAAGATAGAAAATATTTAGCGGGCGTGTCACCTTATTTAGCTGACGGGCTTTGAAGAAATGTTGTACTTCCGATGCAGGGTCGTCCCATCTAAAATCGGGCGACGTATTTCGTCCTTGAAGTCTATTTTCAGCCTGAAACTTATGTCCCCAAACCCCAGGGGTGTCCCTCAGTGATGATGGGACTGAACTGGCAGAGCACACTCATATATTTTTTCACAGATTCTGGTTCCCAATGGGCCATTTAGCCATGTATATGTTACGGCCTGGCATATCATGACAAAGCAAACTTTCGGGGCCGAGAAGTACTAATAGAGGGGTCCAGCTTATACATAATATAAGCTTATGTTACAAATCCACGCAATTAGCATCGTAAGGCGTTTTGTTCTCATTGTAATGAAACCGGGCAGGGCAGAAAGGTGTGGCTGAGCGATAAGGTGACAAGGAGTGGCTGATCAGGTAAACAGATATTAGGTAGACTCGTTGCGAGGGCCCCAGAAGGGGAATATCATGAATCCTACACCACACATTCGAGCACCTATCATTTTCTTAAGTGACTGTCTCCATTGCCCTGATCAGAGGGGGTCCTCACCGGCCCTATTTCAGTAATAGAGATAAGGTAAGACTCAAATTAATTACCATATTCAAAAAGACTGATCCGTCGTACTGATAAATTCCTAGCCAGAGGAGACTTCATGGTGGAAATCGGGTAGCCCTGCAAAACCGCAAAACAGGGGGGGTAATTAGGGGTAAGGACTATGACAACGTATGTATAAAGACTACGGAGACCCTCCAAGCTACAGAGTGCCAAAGATTCAGATATATCATAACCCCATACCTATTATCTATTGCCTGCAGACCACATGTACCACATGTGGATAATCTCTTCACTCTACCACGAACCACCCACTCACAGTGGATATCACAGAGAGAGCCAGCCCATTGCATATTGTAAGGAGATGGTCGTCGAGCGTCGCGCTAGGACGAGGCCTTGAATGTATCATTACTAGATAAAGAACAAGAAGTCGAAGGAATGCTACAATGGCTCTTTGTGCCCCTTTATGATGGAAAACAAGGAGTCGCGCTCGAGTCCACCAGCGGACTAGCTACTGAGGCGCAGCTTCGTGGCTTAGCCGTGTATAACTCGTAACACACATCTTGCTATGATTGAGGCACTTCACAGTAAGCGAGCTTGAAACATTGTTGACATGTAGGCATGACTCTTACCAGCAGTTTACTCGGCACGTGAAGCACACCTTCGGATGTAGATGCTCCTGAGCAGCTCGGGATAATACCTGATAGAGTACGTCGCAAAGTTGAAGTTTCAAGCACATGCTCTGGGTGAAAAGACTTGTAGATGCTCTTGTAACTTTGACCTTTGGCCCACTGTCCCGCTTTGTAGACAACCGTGCCCACGTCGGTTTGGCAAAATTCTCGTATGCTCGGTCCAAATTCAAATCCACGTCTTACGGGGATTGAGAAGTTACCGCAGCTTATTTCTATCTCCATACATACCATTCATATGCTTCTACTTAAATTTATGTAGTATATTCTGACAGCCCAGCTTTGAGTAATTATTCAAGTCAAGGCTTCATGGACTTTGCCTCCGTTCATCCATTACATCAAATGAAAGTATTTCATACACCATCCTGTAGGTGAGGCTCTTCGTACTACTGCGTCACATTCCCATGTCGGTCAAGGCAGAGATAGGAGTCAGGGGGCCTAGGTTGCCGGTCCTGAAAGCTGCTGGCGACCCATTCCTTGTTTAGCTCTACTGTCAAGTTCTCTCCAGTCTCCTAGAAAATATGCTGCTCATGTCTGGCCAATGGATCAATGCTCTTCTCTCCAGTTGCTAAGGAGGACGCAAGCGTTTTCGAAAAACCTCAATGACCATTGTTTCCACTCCGACGGCCGTCACACCACCGTTTCCCCGTACTGCCATTGAGCAATGAGTACAAAACGGGTCTCAGCCGATCAAAACATGAAACAAAGTCAGCAGCTATATACTTGTCGGGCATTCTCGGATTGTGCACGACGTGCCGGTCGTCCGTGTCGGACCGGGAGGCCCACACTTAACAGGCAGTTGCTGCAGATCCAAAGTGGTTCCTAGCGTTACCCAAGCATCCCAACCAGACCCAGGTCATTCTTAAAACGGTAGCAGATAATGTTACATTGTCATCCTTGAATATGCCTCGTCAGGGAAGCCCTAGCGCCTACAACTTGAGTCTCAGAAGTGGGACATGACTCCAATGCGGCATGCATGTGATTGTCATTATCGCCAGACGTGCACTCCAAGAAACCTGAAATTGGACTCGCAAGCGCCGAATATGAGGAGATCATGATTAGTCTACAGTGAGGGGGTCACATGTGAAGGCGGCGAACAGAGATATTTTTGATAATAAAATATTCATTCTATGCTATTCTTGTTACTCCAGAGTATGTGGTCATAATGCGTAAAAATGCGCGATCTTGAGCGACAAAAGTGCTCAGAGACGCGATGCCAGTCCAAAAGCCCAGTAAAGTCTCGGGCGGCGCCGCAGTCTTTCATCGCGGCAGCGCGTCGCACCTCTTTCGATGCTTTCGACGCCTGTTCTGTTTGATATCAGATCCCATCCAGCTGGTTCCTGGTAGGTAGAATCGCGCTTTGCCGCCTGGGAGCCACCAGGCAGATGGGCGCGTGGGTGCGATAAGAAAACTTCAAGCCTCGAGGGCAACCACCTTAATCGGCGGACTTGTGCATGCTGCCGGTAACGTAGTTCTCCTTTCCGAGAGCGTTGATGGTCTCGATGTCCTCCTGCGCGAGCGTAAACTCAAAGGACTCGAGGTTGCTCTGGATGCGCGAGGCGGTCAAGCTCTTAGGCAGGACAATGTTGCCGCGGGCGGCGTTCCAGTTGAGGAGGATCTGAGCGGGGGTCTGGCCGTACTTCTTGGCAATGGCGTTGATGGTAGGGTCCTCGAGCTTGTTGCCCCGAGCCAGCGGGGAGTAGGCCTCAATCTTGATGCCCTGGTCGGCGCAGAGCTTGACGAGCTCCTCGCGCTGGCAGAAGGGGTGAACCTCTACCTGGTTGACGGCGGGGACGACGCGAGCCTTCTCGAGGAGGTCCTGCATGTGCGCGACGCCAAAGTTGGAAACGCCGATGGACTTGACCTTGCCCAGGCGCTGGGCGGTCTCGAGGGCGCGCCACGAAGCGAGGCGCTTCTCGTCGTCGTCAGCGGGGGAGTGGAGGAGGTAGAGGTCGAGGTAGTCGAGGCCAAACTTGTCAAGGGAGGCGCAGAGAGCCTCGAAAGTGGCCTCGTAGCCGTGGTCGGCGTCCCAGAGCTTGGAGCAGACAAAGACCTCCTCACGGGGAGTGCCAGTACGCTCGAGCCAGCGGCGAATGGCACGGCCGCAAGCCTCTTCGTTGGCATAGCGGGCGGCAGAGTCGATGTGACGGTAGCCGGCATCGAGGGCGGCGGTGACGGCGTCCTCGGTCTCCTGACCGTTGGGAGCCTTGTACACGCCGAGAGCGACCGCGGGGATGAAGTTTCCGTCGTTCAGCTCGATGGAGTGAACAGAGCAAACGGAGCCTTTCTTGGTAGGGATAGGACGCTCCCACTTGCCGGTTGGGCTGGAGGGAGTGGTAGCAGGGGGCGTGATAGCGGAAGGAGCCATTGTTGCGGTTGTTGGTGGGAGGTCTGGGTTGTATGGATCAAAAGTTCAACGCTTGAATAAAGGTTTCTCTTGTCGAGTTGGGTATCAAGACAATATGTAGGAAATTGTTTGGGTGAGTGAAATAGGAATGGGGACAAAGTAAACCCCATTTCAGTGCTGGCAGAGAAGTCTTAAGTACAAAACCTGATGAACGAATTTGCGTCCCTTCGCAATCCGTCTCTCGATACTGGCCGCGTTTGCCGACTGCTCCCACATTGCGCTGATTTCTCGACCATGATCTGTCACAGCCGAGCTCACATCAACATGAAATGCCGCCCGAGTCAAACCCGACTATGCTACGTGGACCTGAAGGTGGGCACGAATTGGTCCCCAGATGCCATTGCGAACCCCTGAAGCGGACCACTCGTCAGTCTTTCAACGACTCAGCCTTGAGATATCACCGTTGGATACAGAAACACTGGAGTCAGTGGGACACACGGTGGAGGCGCTCGCGATGAAGGCTCTTACGGTATCTTATCACAAGGTCCAGTGTTTTATTTTCGTGTCTCCAGTCGCCAGAAACGACGGCCTGACTGGACAAACACTATCGGTACGCAATGACGTCGGTGTGGAACCTCTTCGGCTTGGGATAAGGCGCCGCGGCGGCATTAATGCTGGCACGGCACGGATAGATCCTATCATCCCAGAGGGATTCATGTGGCAGATCCATCAGGGACCACTTCGGCAGCCGCGTGCCTGCATATGATGCCAGGTTGGCGGCCTTGGCAAGTTGGTTTAGTGAGGTGAGATTCGCCTGGTGCTTGAAGCCTCTGCCGGGCGTCTGCGTTCGTGGTGGGTAACGATCGACGCTGTCGCTGGTTGAAAGGGGTTAAAACTCTGATCGTAAGGCACCGTGAAGTGGACCTGTGGAGATCGACGTCACCGTGGGGGCCCATGAGAACCTTTCGAGGGGTTCCTTGAGGCTGAACAAACCTTCTAGCGTTTAAAATGTCCCGACATCATCGACCGTTCACTTGCCGTCTACTTTGGTCTGTGCAGGTTTTCACGCAATATGTGGACCATAAGATCTCAGACCGCCTAGCGAAACCCACGCGCCCGCAGCTTGGAGGCAGAGATGAATGATGCCCAGAAAAAGGGCTTGGCTCCTGCGCCCGGTTCGATCCCTGAGCACCTGAGAGATTTGCCATTTCCTCGGTAGTGCCGTCACCTCAGGGTCGTGGAGATTTGCGTCGGTCGGAAGCAAGCCCGACTCCAGCCAAACTGCCACAGATCGAGAGGCCGCACAAGATCGGAATTTTGATGTACAGTGACAGTGTGCGAAAACCCCTCACAGGAAGAGATAGCAGAAAACTTGTTCACTGTTCAACCGGCCCGAGACGAAGAGCGTCCAGCTTTCATGAGCTGATCATCCCACATTTGTACATCCTCCTACGCCCTTGAGCCGAAGGGCCGATAGCGCGACTACCGTTTTATAACACTGCTTTCCTAACTCCTCGCCGTAATATCGTCGCAACGGTAGAAGGACCAGTGACTTTCTGCAGAGACACAGCGATGTCCTTGTTCACCTAAAAAAGCGCTTGGCGGTCGGCGACCGACTTTGCTGTTCAGTCAAGGCTAGTACAAATTATGCAGATACAACACTCGCTTAGTTGAAGCCAGCATATATTTTCTGAAGGAGTCAATGATCATTCAACGCCGAAAAACATTATATTAGATGTCAGGACTCAGGCACTGAACTTCAGACCGTTGGTAAGCCATTGCAGGACCGAGACGTGGCGAGTTGAGCCAAGTCATCGAACAACCGACAGTCCTTTCCATCGGCGATTTTAAATGTAGTCGAAATATTATGGGGAGGCGGAGAACACCTACTCAACAATGCAAGATGCTAAGCTTCGTTGACCTGAGTTCTGGGTGGTTGGCTTGCGTATGAGGGGTCTAGGTTTCCCACAAAGATTGCAACTCCCACAGTTTTCCCCGGGTCTCGTGTTGGGAAGATCGTGAAATGGGTCTGAGGCCCACGTGCTGACGTGGTGGTCTCGGATGACATCAACCACAAGGAGCCCACATTTTTAATAGATACAGGCAGAAGAACAGTGGCAAAAAAACGTAAAATCTGGAGGGCAGCTCATTCTGGAAATTATTGCCTTGGTGACAGACTCTCTTTGTGAAATGCAGAAGTCACACTATTTTGCAAGTCGGGCATATGGAAAGGTTTGATGGTCCGAGGTGTCGTGCTGGGTGGGCTGTCAGGAGTATTTCCTTCTACATGGGCAAGAATCCATGGCCGAACGGCCAGATCGAGAAGCATTTCGATTCAGAAGAACAACGGTTTCTGTTCATTTGTTTCTCCAGGGATATGGGAGAGGTTTATAGCCCAACGTCCGATGCTGTCATATGAGAACATCTTGGAGATTCAAAGCGTGCCGCGAAGTCTATGTGACTAAGAGCACGAAAAGAGCAGCAGACTATACTTCGTCTGGTAACAAGCTCCAGTATATGTACCTGTGATTATGGAAAAGTGCGCCTACATGCAAGAGCACAAATGCCAGAGGTCTGGAGGGTAAGCAGGAAGGCCGTAGCCAAATCCTTTTTCTTTTCTCTTAATTTCTTTTGCTGCTACAGCACCTCAAGCAACCTACATTACGTCGATCTCACCATAGAACATAACTATATGAGATTCTTGGCATCATTCTGAGACTGATATATGCGTCCTATCTTGCCTGCAAGATGTGAAGCCTTTGCCAGTTCATCCATCCTGGCTCTTTACTTTCCAGTTAGTTTTCCGCGTAGCTTGCTCATGAGACTTTTGTCGCACTTACACTTCTTGATCATGCTGAAAATGGGTCTAGAGGTACCCATGCTGCTGACGAAACCGCGACCGGTACACTGTGTCCCCTTCGATCTTACGAATTGACATTCAATGATGTAATCCTCAACCATGGACACCTCGCCGCATTTTTCGCAATGAACTTCTCGGGTAGAGATTTGACACATGGCAATGTTTTCTCGGTGACCAGAAGCTAGTGGTGGTTTGATGTTGAAGTCTGTGTCGTGGGTGCGGATCTTCAATGCAGATATGGATGTTTCTTTTCTCATTGTCGACGCCATGATGAGCGCTAGTCCACAGCTATTTAAGTAAAATCTTGAATGACCGCACGTAGCGGTGTTTTGAGACATTGACGAATTCAACAATTATGATTTCATAATGTGCTCTGACGGTGCTTGTGGAGTCGCGCTGACTCCTGGAGAATATCGTAGTGCAAATCTAGATCGCTATTCATTGTCATCGTTCCAGGAGGCTGATATTAATTGGGGTCAATGTAGGCAATAGGAACGAGAGTATATTGCCGAAACATTGTGTCGATCAGGATTGATGTGTTACAAACTACACCCTGACATAGAACAGATTTAGAAGCTGCGATTAGCGGTGGTGTATGTCCCATTCCTGCACAGTCTACGCATTTCTGCCGCTGCACGCTCCAAAACACAATGTCAACGAAGGGCAGCGGGCCTTGGACCTGATCATCCAATCAGCGAAAGACCTTCCACTTTGGTATTCCGCTGTTCTCGTCCCTGGACCATGAAGGTCTAGAACCAAATCTAGGTAGATGGCACTGTCTTGAGATTACTTCCCTTTGAGCACCCATGTCATCTGCACCTCAATCGGCACCAAATTGCCGGACTGAAGCACACCTGGCATCTGACATAACGTGGTCAGCCTTACCAAGTAGTCATAGGCCAGCCCGGTCTAGACATCGCTCGTTGATGGCAGCGCCATCGTCTCATCGCTGATTGGACATCCAAAACAACTTGCTCATATGTTCTCAAACCTCCACCTTCATGTCGCACCAGCTCTAGAAAGTCAAGGCGGTAAGACCACTGCAAAGCGTAAAATTGAGATTGTTGTGGTGGGCATTGATAAAAGAAGTAGATGTGCCCAGGCCAGATCGTTGGCTGCATCACATGTACGACCCTCCTACCCCACGTCTTGGCAGATTTCATTACAGCATGTTGTCTTATACCACCCTTGTCTTGGGCTTGGCGTGCATTGTGCCAAGCTCCAATGCTGCCCTCGTTGGAACCGGCATCAACATGTACAAGCCACCATGTGCCTTTGCTTGTAACGGCGCCATCAGCAACAACGCACTCTCATGTTCATCGATGACGGAGATGGAAGGCATGGATTCTATGCTAATGACGACGCCCGAATGTCGAGCCAATGATACATCATTCCTAACCACGCTGGCGTGGTGTCTACAATCAAACTGCGCCGAGTTCGACGTTCCAGTCTCTGAGCTGCAGAAGTTCTGGGAAGAACAAGCTACAGGCGAACCGACTGTGCAACCCAAATGGAGCTACCCTGCGGCGCTGCAGAGCGTCCAGGAAGCGCCAACGAAGATCCTCACAATGCATGACACTCTCAATTTCACAGCGTTGACGTCGGAAGAGGATTGGGATGTGCAGTTCAAAACCCTTTCATACTTCGAGCGGGAAGAGGCCATCCATGCGAGATATGGGTAAGCCAAACCGACCCACCTTGGTCTTCTTGTGTATGGACTGATATCAAAATCACAAAGAATCATCATCCTCGTCACCGGCTTCGCAACACCTCTTCTTCTCACCGCTGTGGGATATCTGCCTTTCATATCTAGCATCACCCACAAGGTTGCTCCGTACATCGTTTGGCAAAGTCTCATCGGTACATATCGAGTCCGTCCTCTTCCATATTTGATTGGAACCGCACCGTCCATCGGCCATGCTTCCTACATTGCCCTCATGATCATCCTGAACGTCATCCTCACTGCAGTCAACTACAAATCAGCACAGCCAAACGCATGGTTCTCGAGCCAATACCAGGAAGTACTCGAGTATGTCATGATCCGAACGGGAACACTGGGTTTCGCATTGTCACCTCTGGTCATTCTATTCGCTGGCCGCAACAACGTGCTCCTTTGGCTGAGCAATTGGTCACACTCCACTTTCATGCTGCTGCACCGCTGGATCGCCCGCATCTTTGGCCTCCAGGTCATCATCCATTCCATCACAGCATTGGCTCTTTATTCCAATATCGGAACATACTCGGAAGAGTTGAAGCTTCCTTATTGGATCTGGGGTTGTGTCGCCACAGTGGCAGTCGTCATCATGCTGGTGGCTAGCAACCTCTACGTGCGTCGTCAGTCGTATGAGGTATTCCTCGTCATCCATATCCTCCTCGCTGTCTTCGTCATTGCCGGCTGCTGGTATCATGTCGACATCCGCTTCCAGCGCAAATTCGGCTACGAGATGTGGCTGTACGCATCATGCGCAGTTTGGTTCTTTGACAGGATGATGCGCATGCTGCGTGTGCTCAAGAATGGCATGCGCCGATCCAACGTCGTCAACATTGATGAAGATGTGGTTCGAGTGGACGTTCCTGGCATTTGGTGGGCTGCGAGCCCGGGGCAGCATGTATATGTATACTTTCCCACGCTCAACCGACTCCGACCCTGGGAGAACCACCCCTTCTCCGTCGTTCCGACAACCATGTTGTACGAGAAAGCACGGTCATCTGAGGCCAGCGCATCACCCACACTGTCAAGCAACGACGTTGAGAAAAATGAGCGAGCAGATGTCAGAATCAGTCCAGTCACTGACAGGGAAAATGCTGGTTTAACGCTATTCATACGCAAGTCAGCTGGGCTGACGAAAGCCTTGACCACAAAAGACAACGTCCTCACCCTCCTAGACGGACCGTATTCAAATAATTCGACCGCACCCGTGTTACAGTGCGACCGTCTGCTTCTGATCGGCGGCGGAATTGGTATCACGGCCCTCGTTCCGTGGATCGATAGGCATCCAAACCTCAAGTTGTCGTGGAGTGTTAAAGACTCTGCAAAGGGTCTTGTGCGCGCTTTGGAGAATGCAATTGACCGGGTCGAAGAGAAGGACGTTCGAGTTGGATCAAGGCTCGATTTCAATGCCCTACTTGACCAAGAAGTGCAGTTAGGGTGGTCCAGGATCGGCGTGGTAGTTTCAGGGCCTGGAGGTCTCTGCGATGATGCTGCGGCCGCGGTCATTGCAGCAGGGAAAAGGGGCAAAGCTTTGTTTGAGCTCGAAATAGACGCTTACTCTTGGTGAAGAATACCATATAGATAGTGGTCCTAGAGGTCAGCACGGTGCTGAAGTCGGTCATCATGACGGTAAAATGCCGAGGTTCAGACACTAAAGCCACATGCCCTGATTACCGCACCTCGCCAGGCCAATAATTGAATCTAGCTTTTATGCAAGGTTTGAAAGCTGTGCGCGGCCGAAAGAGCCAATATGGCGAACGAACAAACCCGTATGGGGCAGCATTCCTCTCGCTCGACGGATTTAGCGTTTGCTGATTCCTTTCCTGCGCATCACACTCGCCACTTCCATTCAATGGGCGTTAAGCTTCAGGAATCCCTTCAGCAATGCAGAGAAGACGCAGTGCGGTAGTTTATAAGCTAGAATGCCTACGAAAATCCGACTTGTCATCTTTTAAGTCCTCATGCAAAATGAGTGCCAACTGTTCCGGTGAGCCACGTTGCCTCGGGAATCGCAAAATGAACTTGAGCGTCACGTCTTCGCTCAAATCAGACTAACATCACAGCGTCTCGGCGACTTCGATACGATGGGTCAACGAGTCCGGGCTCTCATGCGCTATATTTGTATTGGTCTGGAACAGGAAGGATACGGCTGTGACGAATGCTTCTCTCGTAGCAGGTCAAGTTTCAAGGAGTATTTATATCGACGAGAGGTGCGACAAGTTTGTTGTCATGAACACATCTCATGGCCCCATCACCACGGCATATGACAGTCTGTTCTCTACCTCAGCACACAGGAGGATGGTGGCGAGTCGATACTCAGCTCAGCATTTACACGCCCAGTGACGCGGAGCGCAATTTTAGTCATCTGACATATGTGCCCGATGCTACTGGAGTGACGGCGAACAGCGGCGATCGAGGACTGACGTTGCTAGACAATAACGGCCATATACACTGACACACCATGACCGAGGTCATTGTCTGCAGTATGGTGCAGCTACCCGCCAGCTATCAGCAAATTCTTGATCATCGTCGTGCGCCACAAATCATCCCGAATAATCAGAGCTGAAGAGACAGAGGCACGATGGTGGAGGTGACTTCCGCCCTTCCGCCCTCCCGCCGGTCGGCATTATTTATTCTTCATTTCTAGCTATCCAGCGACATCTTCCAAAATTATTCTCATAAATTCTTAGACTATCCCGATTTGCTCGTTTCTTTCGTTTGATCTTGTTAATATCAGAAGATTCGCCATCTTTGTTAATCTCAATCAGCAGTGCACGTACAGCTTAAGAGATCTGAAAGATAGACACGAAGTGCTCGGATGCCCGCCACGATGGGCCCGCAGGTAGTAGTCGGGCGCGCCATTGCACTCAACAGGCTCAATCTCAGGCATCTCGCAACACACTTCATCGCAGATGCGAGCCACTTCCGCGAGGCCGAGCCCTGTGAGGGGTGGCCCGATCTGACCTCGCTGGTGCTGACTTCGACCCTATTTACACTTGACGAAGATCCTGCCCCAGCGCAAGTCAAGCATCAGGCGGCAGCGGAAGTGGCAGCAGTCTTGAGAATGCCGAAACCGCGAAAAGTAGAGACTTGATACGAACGGAGGGGGCTGGTGGCGCTCTTCCGGTGCCAGGTGTTCCACAAGCTGCAGGAAGTTGAGATCACCTGGGAAAGTACCTGGAGACTGATCATAGACACATCCCTGATTGGAGCTTTTGGGGCCATTGTGCATCGGCACTGCCGGCGAAAACCTTGGTTGGTTAAGGTCTTCCTGAATTCAGGTAACATCATGCCTCACGCGGACGCGGTCGACTACCCGAGCCTCTCAGGTCTGGTGGTTCGACCCATCTCGCTATGAAAGCTCGGTTTGTACAGCAAGCGATGGAGGGTGTGAGGACCATGGCATGGTATATTTAGACCAAGATTGGAAGTCACAGGATCGTGACAAGCAGAGGGTAGAAACAGCAAATCTTTTACTATTCAGACACGCAGTTATTACACAAAATACAGAGCAGTCCGTACCAGGCACCCAATTGTGTCAATTTTGTTTTCCGAAGCCACCCTGACTTGCAAATGCGCGCACACACCGTTGCTAACCATGTCCGTTCCAGCCTGAGAAGGCGATATGCAACCCGAAGAAAAAAAAACCCGAGCACTGAAGCCCCTCTTGGGAGATCCAGTGTCCGTCTTGGTCGAAACGATAATGAAAAGAACGCCAACTTCCTGTCTTTCTGACTAGACAATGTTGTCACCCTGGTGCTTGCTGCTAACATTGCTGCCCTCACGAGCCTTGCGGTGCTCGATCTCCTCCTTCTCGCGCTCAGCCGAAGACTTCTTGCGGGACTGGAACAACGTGACGGGCTTGCCCTGGATAGCAGTGCGAATCTTCTCTTCAGAGCGCTCAGCCCAGACGGGGAAAGAAGCCATGCTGACGGGGTACAGGGGAAGGTTGAGGTGGGAGTCGAGGAAGGCGTAGGGCATGTCACGGTGCACATCCATGGCGGCAATGACGTCGAGTTCGTGGGCAATCTGCTCACAGTACCCCTCGAGAGGAAGATCGTTGACATCGCGGCCAAAGGGGTTCTCAATCTCCTTGCCGATGAACAGGATAGCGAGAATGATGTAGCTGGCAGCGATACAGGCGGGAATTGTGATCCACTCGAGGGTCTTGTACAGCTGGAAGGGGAGCAGAAGGACGTAGAGCCAGGTGATCTGTGCGATGGCAATCGAGTAGGCGATGGGCAGTGGCGTGTTGAGGACGCGCTCGGTACCGGTCATGATGTCGTTCAACAGAGTCAGACTGGTGTACGCAGTGGTCTGCTGCATGGGAACGGGGAGCTGGCCGTCGGCAACCATGGCGTCCACAATGACAGACAGATGCGAGATGATCTCCAGGGGAAGGTTGCCAAGCGGGTACGTAGCCTTCTTGAGAGCCTTGCGAGGGTTGGACTCGGCGAAGGAGACGCCGAGGTATTCGCCCACTTCCTTGAAGAAGTTCTTCTTGGGCAGAGTGGTGCACTGGGGATCAGTGGCGGCGGCCGTCTTGGCGAAGGTGTTGAGGTGACCGACGAGGTGCTGGAGATCCTCGTAGACAGTGTACGGCTCGAAGCGGAGCTTGTGCTTCAGCGCGACGGAGAAGGAAAGAACGAGGTTCAGGCAGCTCACGCGACGTAGCATCATGTCCTTCTTGGCCAGCTCGGGGTGCTCCTTGGCGTGGATCCAGAAGACGCGGCCGAGCGTCTGCGAGACGTGGATGAGCTGAGCCCAGTAGCGGCGGCCCTCGGCATAACGTTCATAGGCGGTGGATGATCGGAAAGACAGGCCAAGACCGACGACGAAACCGAGGACGGTGAGAAGGATGGACTGGACACCAAGGTTGTAGACAAACTTGGAGAGGCAGGTAATGAGGGTGGACCAGATGGTGACAATGATCAGAGGGACGAGCAGGCGGGGGAGAATGGAGCCATGCATCTGCAGCACGAAGGGCCACTTGGAGTGCTTCTGGATATCGCGAGGACCAGTGAAGTAGTCCTCGACGTCGACACTCGTGTTCTTGCGGCTGAAGTAGTTGGGTGTCTCGGGGTAGACAGGAGATGTGACTTCGGTGAGGTCAAGCGCCGGGGGCATGTTGATGCGCTTCTCCTGGGTGTCGCGGTTGAACTGGGTGTGGTCGGAGTTGGACGCCGCGGCGGCGGCAGCGGCGCTGTGGCCGGCACCGTGACCACCAGCGCCAGAAGCAGCGGGGGCGCCGTCGTCAGCCATGGTGGTGATTATGGGATGGTATCAAGCGATGTTGTTCTTGATGGTGGTCGGTGTTCGTTCCTTGGGGGGAAGTTGCCCAGAGAAAGATGCTGTTCGGCCGAAACGATGGTGATGACCTAGACAGGTGCGGCTGGCAGCGCGAGGTGGCTGAACAAAGAAGGACAGGGTAGTGCCTTCAACGATGAGGTCGGGTGTTTCTTAGATGTCTGGGCCTGCCAGTGGAAGAGTGCCGGCGGTGGGCTTGTGTTTAAGTGATGTTGGGTATCGCGCGAGAGAGAGAGAGGGAGAGAAAAGTCGTGATGGCTTCAATGGAGGTAGGCGCGCTGTGTGGCAAGGAAGGAAAGCAGGGCCAAGAAATATTAATGTGCAGGTGCCCGAGGAGATGAGATGGCACGAGGAAGGGGCGGCGGGAAAACCAAGTCAAGCTGAAACTCATCAAAAAAGGAAGCAATGACCGGGGCGCGAGTCGGTTTTGAGGAAAGCACAATGGAGTAAAGGACCAAAACGACAGGTCGTCGGCAGGTGAAGAAATTATCTCGTGTTTCGTGGCTTGCAGCCTGCAGGTGGGTGCAGGACGTCCTTCCAGAGACAGGTGCAACCCCCTGAGGCCTTTCGCCAGAAATGACCTGGCAGCGCGCCAGCGAGGCCTGGACACGAAGCGGCAGTGCCCCCCTGAGGACCCACCCGAGTCACCCTAATCGGGATAAGCTCAACGCCGGCCCGTGCCAGTGCGATGCCCCGGTACTTCCCCCACCATCCAATCATCTGGTGAAAGCTGGGCTTTGAGCGTGTGCCTTGGCCGCTTTGGCTTCCCCTAACTCCCCCCGATTCTGCTGCTTGTGAACGGCCGCCAAGCAATGGAAGGGCGAGCGTGCGAGCGCCGGGCTATTGGTGATGGTGGTTGTGGTGAAACAGGGGTTACCATTGTCGACATTCTCACGCGGACGCGCCTGCGTCAACGACGTACTTGAGCGTGGCATTGGTGGCTTGCCTGAGCCAGGCCTGAATGGAAAGGGAGGACAACACGTGGAGGCAGGAGACTTGTCTTGGAAGCGGGAGGCGCCCGAGGAACCTGTTCCAGGCTCAGTTCGCTTGCACGTCCACTCAAAAAAGAGCCTGGCGCCTTGGAAGACTGGCAGGCTGGGCGGCTGTGCTGCCCTGTTTGAGGGTCACAGTGGGCGTGTTACGATTCAGGGGGGAACACAGGTGCTGTTGCATCGAGTAAACATCCAGCAAGGTGCGTTCTGGGCCGCCATGCTGTTGGCCAATTCGAGTGCTCCGTGCCAAGACATCTCGGTCAGCAAG